GAAGAGGCTCGCTTTAGATGGGTTCTGTCTCCCCCTACACAGGCAACATGACACCATATTTCACTCCCCACGGGCCGTTAAGGCCCTTGTGGGAGGGGTGCCTACCCAACATTCCTTGGGGACTTGCCACAGGCCACCACATGGACCGTGGTCCCCTTCACGGCCCATTTGGGGTTTCTGAAGGGTCCCCGATCCAGGTGTTGGCCTGTGAGTCTTTCCCTATAACCCCTTTTTGGTCTTTCTCGAATCTGAGGTGTCACAGTCAATTGTGAATCAACGCTCCAGATGAAATTAATTAAATATACTACATTTTTTAATGGGAAATATCTGCTCCAAATCAGTGCCTACGAAGTCTAACATAGTAAGTAGAAATGTTAGTGAAATATATATATATATATATATTAACTCAATTTTTCAAGAAATTTAAAATGCATGCATTGCTCATATGTATGTTTTAAAAATAACGGAGAAGAGCCTAAAATGTCCCTCAACTATATGAATTGGTACAAAATCACCTTCCATCCACCTTAATGCCTCCAAATACCCATGACGTTAACCTTTTGGCTCAAAAATACCCTATATCTAACGGATTATACTCATTGGGTGGATGGAGGGCATTATTGTACCAAATCGTATAGTTTAAGGGCATTTTAGGCCATTTTCCGTTAAAATAATTTGAAATTACTTAATATATAAGCTCACATGATTGAATTAATTTTGAATTTCATAGTAAATTAAAAATAAAAAAGGTTAAACATCTACTCTCTACACCTCCACCCACCCTCGCCCATACCCTTTACTTCCTATCTCTTCCATTTCGTTTTTCTATTTGGATCTTGTCCACCATTTCTTTTTTTAATTTATGACTGTCACGACCCAAGGGTACACCCTAGATGTAACATGGAATACAAGACCCTGATAGGCCTCATATAAGCCACTAAGCTTTCATAGTCAAGATAATAGAAAACGGGAAAAAATTAAAACATTTTCAACAAAAGAAAAGTCTTTATAAAACAAAGCGGAAGTCTTATACAATTCTCTCAAAACCATCTAATACAAAGAGTCATTGGGACACAGCCCACACAACAATGTTCAAAACATAAAATCAAAGGAACATAAGAAAATGGTGTCTGAATCCTCGAATGCTATGAGGACTCACCGATCTTCAATTCTTGCCTCTACTAAGATCCTAGCCACGGGGATAAGAGTCGGGAACGTCGGACCCTAATTTGGATGAGAAATGTAGGCAAAAATATGCGTTAGTACAAGAATGTACTAAATATAATAGTTTGCATCAACATCAACATAAATATAAGAGTTAGACAATATAAGTCATAAGCATAATCAATGCACATAATAGATCATATCAACATAAGAGGAATACTTTTCAAGTAACCTCAAAGCATACTTAGCCAAGACATGGGTAATCCTCCACTAGTCTTACTCATCATAGAAGGCAACCTATAACAATAATCCAAGCTAATCACCTATCAAAACATGTTTAACTTATCTTTTATAGACATGGGGAATTACCTCTTTGTCTCCCTATAAGGGCTCATGGGTAGTCGCCTCTTGCCTTACATATAGGATCATGGGTACTTGCCTCCATGTCCATCTTATGGGATCATGGGTACTCGACTCCATGCCCAACATCATATGACACTGGTACTCGCCTCCATATCATTTCATAAGGAATCATGGGTATTCGCCTCCATGTCCTTCATCATAAGATATGGGTACTCACCTCCACATATTTCACTAATGGGTCATGGGTACTCTCCTCCATGCCCAACATCATAATAGAAACATGGGGAGTCGCCTCTTGTTCAATTCTAAGAAATATGGGTAATCGCCTAATATCCTTCTCATTTGGAGGTCAAGGGTAATCGCCTCTAACCTCATCAATTTCTTAGTCTTTTAGTCTAGATTCATTTTAGGTGAGCAATCCTTTCAACCTAGAATCATTCAATGTGAGAAAGTCTTTCACATTCATACATAAGCAATTCAAGTGGGAACTATCCCTTCCACAACAATTACATCAATGATCAACAATTCATATCATAAGTTTTACTCTCAAAGCACTACATCTCATAATCATCATCTATTCTTCACTCTCAAAGCAATTCATAATGTATCTCATTCATCCTACAAGAATACATCTAACCCACAAATTCTCCTTTCATGGCATCACACCCATTTATATCAAATTCCAACTTAGAAACATGGGTTAAACATGGGTACATGTAAATTCATCCTAAACTCATATAAGCTTATCAATTCATGCATAAACAATCATAACCTAATTCTTTGGATCAACATTATCAATACCCACAACATTAGAAGAAAACCCTAACTCAAATTAGGGAATTTCTACTTTTTATTAGGGAATCTTAGGGGCTCCATGGAAGAAAAGATTTCATGGATGAAAATCCATCATATCTTGCTATCAAAGCCCACAATAGCTTGGAGAAAGGAGACTTGACCTTGATCCTAGCTTGAACTATTTCTTCTTCTTCAAGTTCTAGAGAGAGAAATATTTGGAGAGGAAGAACTTTGTTTTTCTTTTGGGTTTTAGGAGAATGAGTTGAATGAACTAAATTGGGGGTTAAAATCATTTAATAAGGGGTCTTAGACATAGGAAAAATGACGTAGTATCAATGTATTATAATTAGAAAAAGACCCAACTATCCCTCAACTAACTGTCGACTGCCGACCCACGACTTCAAGACTGACGGAACGTGGACTAACCAACGGTCCATCTTGCACAAGCGTCACTAGGTTCAGAGAATTTGGGTCAGACCTAAGGACCCCTGTACCACGGATCGTGGACCCACCGACGGTCCGTAGATCAAGTTGTGGTCCCTGCCCTTTACAACTTTTGGGTGGCCAATCCATGAACCAACCTACGGTCTGTGGTCCAACCCACGGGTCGTGGATGGCACCTGGAAGTCCTGAAACTTGCTATGTTGCCCTATCTCAAATCCGAGGTGTTACAATGACAAACAAGAGAGAAAAAAAGGAGGAAAATAACTATGCATTCATATAGAAATAATTAGTTCAATAAAAGATGATTTAACTAAGAAAATATGTACGAATATTACATTTTTCTTTTGTGTGTACCCAAAATTCAAAATAAAATAATAAAAATTATATTTCTCTTATCCACACCTTCATCCCACCATAACAATAATACAAATTAAAAGAATATAAATATGTGAGTTCATTTCAAGTTTGAGTCCCGGATATCCTAATTAAGAATAAGAGATTAAAAAAATGTATGAAATAGAAAATGAACAAGACATTTGGATAATTGATAGAAAATTTTATTTAATGAAAAAATATTTTTTTAGATGGACAATCCGTAGTCCGGGTGAGTATGGATTTTAGTTGGATCTCCATTTATGAGTTTGGTTATGTTATAATAAATTGGGGGTTGATTTAAAATAGGCCAAGATGAATATCTCATGAAATTAAGTATTTTTTTAATAATATTTTCAAGTGTATCGGGTCAAAATATGAATCATAAGATTTTATTAAAAAAAATATTTTTTTAAATATCATTTTTATTATTTATTTGAGAAGGGTTTAAATTTGGACCAAACACATTAAGTAATATAATAAATAAATCTTTAATAATTTTACTTTAAGGATGCTATTGAAAATAAGGACAAATATGAGTCAAATTATTAACATTGAGGGTATTTTTGAGCCAAAAGGTAGACGTCAGGAGTATTTTAGGGCCGAAAGGTGGACGAAGAGTAATTTTGTACCAATTCAAATACTTGAGAAGCATTTTAGGCCCTTCTCTGATAAATCAAATACTTCATCCGGAAGTTAACCAAGTTTTAGTTTACGTTCTCGTAAACTCAATGCCGTCAATTGGGACCGCATGGATTGATCCCTTTTTTCTTTCTTTTTTTGTCTTTTATTGTATTTGTATGGTTAAAAAAGGTGTTTTTTTTTTCCTTCAAATGTTGGAAAATTACTGAAATAATTTACGTCGACCCTTTGTTATTGCATGCCTTCGAATATATAGTAGATTGTTGGTGTACAATTTTTCATAATATTAGAATATAATTTTAACCTGTTGTAGTCAAATCACTTGTCTTAATAATTTTAGGTTATTAATTTCACTTGTTATTATAAAGTATTAAGTATCATTTATAATATCTTTTACTACATATGTTTCATCAACTTATATATCTTACTTTCAGTTTTAGTCTTTAAAAAAAAAAATTATCATCTTTTTATATTCACTAAGTTCTTAAATTTTTTATATAATATTCTCATTTTAATCCTAATAATGCTCATTAGTACGATTTACATGAAAAATTTAAGATGAAAAAATCAAAGGATATTTTTGGTTTATCATACAAACTTTTGATTTTGTATTAAAATGGCCAAATTCAATTTTCTTTACATTCTTGAACATATTGGATCAAACTAAGACATATTCTCCCCTCTCAATTTATGTGACACCTTTATATTTGACATAGTTTAACATGATTTTTTTTTTAAAAAAAATTATGATCTAAAATAAAATTTAAATATTTGTGTGACTATAAATTTATTTCATTCAGGATGAAAATGAAATTTAAAGTTACTCCATCCATTCATTTTTAGTTGACATATTGCGCTTTCGAAAGTCAATTTGACTAATTTTCAAAGTTAAATTAGATTACATTTATTTAATATTTTAAAATAAAATTTTAGATATTCAAAAACTATATGCATTGCAACTTTTTTCATATGAATATGACAATTTGTAGAGGACAAATTTTAAAAAAAATAGGTAAGAGTATTTTTATAAAAAGTAGTGTGATGAATAGTGGTAGTGTAATTGGCAATTTAGAATTATAGGTAACTTTAGCCTTTACCTTTTCCATTAGCTGTGTAGTAATGAGTGTGGTAGAAGGACCCCCTGATGACCCTAGCACCATGAAAGCCACATATATATCTATGAATTTCATTTCATTTGTATATGTTCTTCTCTCTCTCTCTCTCTCTATAAAAGCATATCTGACCAACAAATCAAGAAAGACGCTCCCATGACTGACCCTAATTTCTACTCCCAAGAAGAAGAATGGCTGAAACTGAATAACCCTAATATTCCTTCTCCTCCTACTAACAATAATTATTATGAAACTCCACCTTCTCCTCCTTTGAAAGAAGCCCTCCCTCTGCTGAGCTTATTAAAACATGATGATGATGCTGATGATGATGAAGGTTGTTGCAGTATTAGTGATTTGGACAAAAAAGGTAGAGACATCGATGATAATTCATGTCCTAAAGATGATGAAGATGAAGATGTTACAGTAGCACTTCATATAGGTTTACCAAACCCTAGTAGTGCTGATTTGGCCTCTATTCTCAGCTCTAATAATAATAATGATGATTTTTCCATCCCCATGAATATGATAAACACAACTAGTACTAGTACTAGTAGACAGTATTGGATTCCCACTCCTTCTCAGATTCTTATTGGTCCTACTCAATTCTCTTGTCCTGTTTGCTTCAAGACCTTCAACAGATACAATAACATGCAAGTGAGTTTTCTTTCTTCAACCGACCCAGATCATTTCCTTTTCTTCTTCTTCAATAAAAGTTCGGTTTTTTTCTCTTTGGAGGCTCAGATCCAAACAAAGACTTAATTACTACTCTCAAATCTTTCACTTATTAATTGTTTCAGATTCCATATATTTTACCTAAGACTTGATGGAACTTAACAGCTAGCTAGTAATAGTTATATAGATCAGATTTCTATAACACGGCAAATGTTTCATTATATCCTTTGAAAAAGACTGCTCACCAGTCAGGGATCGGAATTACTGTTTATTATTAGTAATTAAAGAAAATTCTCCTGCCTAAATTATTGATCATTGTCACTGTCTAGCTATGTACGATCGTAGATTTGTTGATTTCTGCATCTTTTTCATTTTTAATTTGTCAATACTTTGATTTCTTCCTCTCTTTTTTTTGGCAAATTAAGGAGACGGTGATTACTGGTATTATTGCATTACAAAATTACATACAAATGCACTATATAGCACTTTATTTGAGTATGTCATATATAACAGTCATATAAGCTAGCTTGTTCTAATAAAATGTAGTATTCCATAAAATCAATAGTATAACAAAGATGTTGAGAAAATATATATGAACGTAACCATTGATAATTGAAATCTTGGTTCATTATTTTTCTGTTGAAGAGATGACCCATCTCATCTACAATCTTAGCCTATCAGAGAAAACATATTCTTAATTATGTCTGCAACACAATCTCTGACGGACCTAATATATTTCTTTTAATATTAAATTAAGTGTCAGATAATAAAGGTAAGGTTTTTGTTACTCTGATATCATATTTTTAAACTTGTGTGACTATCCCATCTAAAAACTTAATATATATATACTCCATTACAATTTTTGTCCGGATTTATGTACAGATTTTCTTATTTGATAAATATTTAATGACAACATAAAAGCTAAGTGTAGTATTGTATTTAAAAAATCATTCAATTTGTGCAAGATCTTCCCATTTTGTTGAATGAATTATATATTATATATATATGTTTCAGATGCATATGTGGGGGCATGGATCTCAATACAGAAAAGGACCAGAATCATTGCGGGGAACTCAACCAACAGGTATGCTTAGGCTTCCTTGTTATTGCTGCACACCTGGGTGCAGAAACAACATTGATCATCCAAGAGCAAAACCATTGAAAGATTTCAGAACACTTCAAACACATTACAAAAGAAAGCATGGAATTAAGCCCTTCATGTGTAGAAAATGTGGAAAGGCATTTGCTGTTAGGGGAGATTGGAGAACACATGAAAAGAATTGTGGCAAACTTTGGTACTGCATTTGTGGTTCTGATTTTAAGCATAAGAGGTCTCTTAAAGATCATATTAAGGCTTTTGGTCAAGGACATGGACCTTATGGGATTCATAGCTTTGATGACGATGACGAAGATCCTGCATCTGAAGTTGAACAAGATAATCCTCAACACACTCACTCACTATGAGGAGGTGAGTTCGATCATCTATCTATTTTAATTAAGTAAAACAAAAAACATTAGTATTTAGTTAGCTTATTTATATATATATATATATGTACATTTGCTTTCAGCTTGTACTAGCTAGTTATTAATTTGCTACCTCAATATAATGTTGTATTCACCTTTTTGAGTAATTGATTGCTCGAATTCTGATGATGGAAGTTAAATTAGACATTGTGATGTACTACTACTTTATCACAGAAACAAAACCATATGATATGGGCACTGAACATGGGAAACACTGCCCGTAAAGTATGGGAAAAACATCTCCATCAAACATGTAACATATGTGTGGGACTTAATGTCCAACCCAAAACCACCTACCTTATTTTTACCATAACTATATATACAAATCAATAATACTCTTAACAATTTTAATTTCATAACATCAATACAAATTACTTCATCTTTACTTTTAAAAGAAAACTACTTCTGGGGACTCGGGAAATTACCATAATTAAGTGATAAATTGAGATTAAAAATTCATCAAGTATGTATTAATTAGTCATGTATGGTTTATGAACTTTATGCAAAAGACCTTTACTATGCATTTATTGATTGATGCAAAGTGAAAAAAATTTGGTCACCTCAAGGATGAGTGTTTGGTAAAATATTTTCACAATTTTTTATTTTTTTTTGGAAAATAGGTGGTTTTCTTACTTATTTTCTAGTATTTGTTAAGTAATCAAAAAATTTGTATGCCAATAATATTTATATGTTATCTATCAAAATATTATGGAGGCGGGATGTGATGGAGAGTGGGGATTCGGAGGTGGTGGGGGTTGGGGGATTGGATGTATGGAGAAGACAATAAACTTAGAATATTATTTATGCAACTTGTTTTCCCAATTTTCAGGAAGTAATTTTTCTCATTTTTAAGAAACTTGTTTTTCTAAAAAAATTATGTTCCAAACATAGAAAAATTTCTACCAAACACACCTTAATAATTGTTTTCCGATCGCCAAGTACGTACATCGCCCGGCCTACGACAGTCTCCTATGAATCCTCTTCCAACTACCAACTCAAATGCAAAGTTATTTCCATCTGAGTGTAATACATATTTCACTTGATAATTCTAAAAAGTCATAACGTAGACATTTATGAGAAAAGTATGATGACCTTGCACCACTTATTTATTTATTCTATAATACACTTCCTTTATCTCAGTTTATATGATTTACTTTTTTCTTAGTCGGTCCTAAATAAATGAAATATTTTTATATTTAATAACAATTTAACTGTAAAATACTTATTTTATTCTTAATGAAATATGATTTATAGTCACACAAATATCTATCACTTATTTTAGATATTTAGTCACACAAATATCTATTACTTATTAAGATCACAAATTTCAAAAGTCTTTCTTTGTTTTTTAAACTTCGTGTCGAGTCAAACTAATTAACTCATACTCCCTGTGTCCCTAATTATTTGTCCACTTTTGAATTGACACACCTATTAAGAAAATAATTAATGACATAATAAGTTTACCATTTTACTCCTATTAATTATGAAGTGGATGAAAAGTTCTACATTTTTCAAAGTAATTAATTATTTAATTGAGGGTATAATAGGTAAAAAAAATTGTCCTTTCTTGATTTGTCAAAATGGACAAGTAATTAGGGACAACTATAAAAGGAAAAGTGGACAAGTAAATAGGGACAGAGGGAATATAAAATGGGACCGAAAGAGTATAAATCGGATAAGAAATGATTACTGGGGTCATCAAGACTAACTTTTCTCTTCATGATGTTAATCAGTTCATTGGAATGATATATGAATGCTTTAAAAATGAGAAAGGAAATTAGAGGATTACTAGAAGAAGACCATCAATAAGACTGTATTCTAGTTTCCTTTCTACTAATTTGTTGAAGATATGGAATAAACAAAATATGGACTCTGCAAAAAAATCATGAATAAGAGTGTATTCTAGTTTTATCAATGATTACATGCATGCAATTATAAGGATGATCCAAGTGGGAAATCTGTTTTCTTTCTTTCGACTTTATCTTCAAATTAATTATTTCTGAATTTATCTTATGTACAGTGATTTAAGTATCTTGAAAGATAAGTATCACTTAACATGTAACATACGTCATTTCCTACGTGATAACCCAATTAAATTCAGATTGGAATCCTATTAAATACGGATTTGTATCATATATAAGTATCTTCCTAAATATATTGTTCTAGTAATTTTTCAAGTAAGAAAGTATATATAGGTGCAAGGGGATAACAAGAGAGGGAGAGCATATTTTCCAACCAATATATTGCTGTGACATAAGCTTTTCATCCTGCAAAAACAAGCAGCTTTTGAGGTGCATATGATACCCTTTTCCTTTTTCCTTTTCCTTTTCCTCGGTTAGTGGATGCATGTGTATCTTAATTATATATGGAATATATACCATTTCATATATAAATATTCACTAATATAAACTAAAATATTTTCCAACTGATAAAAAGAATTTCAACAAAATTAAAGGATCAATTCAAGTTGTACATACTCCTGACTAGTCCAAACAAAATCTCTCTGACCTAATTATGTGGATTCGTGTATACCGGATCAATTTGAATTTGCAAGTACGAGAGCGTACCAAACAAGACTTTTTGAATATCTTATTCATACTCATTACTCCCTAGTTTAATATCATTATATTAAAAATAGTTGTTCTATATTAGTTGAACATTATATTAAAAATCAATGTCCCATATTAATTATTCAATTTACTAAATCAAGAAAGCTTTAATTAAATTATTTATATATTACGTTTGCAATGAATTGTTTTTTGAAGTATTCACATTTATTAATAAAATTTCAAAAAAAAATTTAAGCAGTGAATAAGTAAAAAAAGTAAAAAATTTATGATTTCTTAAGTATCATACAAATTAAAATTGATCAACCAATATTGTAGGAGGAAATATAATCTTTCTAGAAAGGCTACAAATTTTGGAAACTTAAATGCTCAATCGAACAAAGCAAATGTTATTCCCTTTGTCCAACATTACTTGTTCATTATTAACTTTGCACACTTCTTAAGAAATTATACAAGGATTGTTTTGCTATATCACCCTTTGAATATAATAAATGCAATGTCTTGAAAAATGCAATAGGAAATAACTATAATTAATGAAAATGATAAATTAGAACCTGAGTGTAAAATTATCTATTGATTTCATAAAGTGGACAAATATTGTTGAACGTCCCAAAATAGTATAGTGAACAACTATTATTCGACAGAGGAATTGCTTTTTTTTTTTAAATAGCTACTAAAAAAAGTTGTAAGATGTACTAAATCTTTCACTATGCACGGTTCAAAATTACAAGGATCTTACCCTTAAGGAGGTACTCTCTCCATCCTATATTAGTTGATCATTTTTCATTTTGCACGTTACTGAAGAAATCATTAATAAGAAGATAATTTTTCTAATTCACCCTTTATAAAATTTAAATTTTTTACAAATAAATGTGAACAATTTCAAAAAGAATTAATTACAAAGGTAATATAGTAAAAAATTAATTAACGTTTTTTTTAATTTAGTAAGATGATCAGCTAATATGGAACAATTATTTTTAATATAATGATCAACTAATATGAGACGGAGAAAGTATAATAAGAAGTGAAATGGTATACAGTTAAGTCAAGGATTGCATTGAGTTGCAAAAGCAGAACATTTAAAGTTAATACTCTTCCACATCCATATTCATAAATCATTTTGGTAAATGTTATTACAATCCATATATGAATAATTTATTCTCTAACACGTGTTAATGACAATATTTGGACGAGTTCTTTGGAAGATTTTTTTGTATAAGCTGGATTCCGACGATTCGTTCACCCTGGAAAACCTCTCTATAATTTGAACTTTATTTTTTAAAATAAAATGGTGGCACAACTATAGCTTAAGTTACGAGTAACGTCTTAAATCTCTTATTTTAGCTTCAGTTAAGAGAAGAAACACACAGAGAAAAATACTGACTATTATTTCATTTTCATACCATCTCAAAAAATATTAACCCTTTAAGTTTGAAGCAATGAGTGAAATAGGTCATACTCATAACAATGAAATTTTATTAGCTCAGTTATTTAACTATCTAAAAATTTCACTTTATTGATAATTGACTCACTGCCTGGTATCCCTTCCCCATTTTCCCTTTCCCAGGATCTATTTTTTTTAAAAATAAATAAATATTAAAATAGGCCACAACACTTTTAAACCCCTTGGTAAACATTTATACAACCGAGGCAGAAAAAGTCTTGTGTTAGCCCTTTAAAGGATGAGTGGTCTTTCGATACAATTTGATTAATTATTTATTTATTGAAATTGAGTTAGACATATATGTTTACTTGATATTTTAGTGCAGGATCCGTTTCAATTTTTATTTTAAATGTTAGCGTCCCATATTAAATTTTTCATTCTCTACATTATTTTAAGATTATAATTTTTGGGCTAATTCATCCCATTTGTAAGATGAGGAGAGATAAAGTTAGATATCTCATGAATAAATTTGAAATACAATTTATACTGCATTTGATAACATAAGATATAAGTTTATATCGTCTACCAAACGCAGTATAAATTTTATGTCAATCTTAATTGTGTGATATTTCACCTCATCTCGTGTACCAAATGATCGCTAAAAGTATGTGGTCTCTTTAATTTCAATCGAATAATTCTCATTTTTTAATTTTTATTTATATCGAGTTAAACCCAAAATCTATAACAAATGGGATTATAACACACTTCAACAGATTTTACGTCAACATATGATCAGCAAAGAAATATTGTTTACTTTTATTCAAGACTTTGTTTAATACACTGTTAAAAAATAGTTTTTACAGTGCAAGATATTAATTGGCTAGAAATCATAGTGGCTTAGAAGTAAAAAGAAGATAAATCCACCAGGTAAAGGGTTGATAGGATAATCTAAGTGCATAAGTTTTAAAACTTGACAGGTTTAGAGTATG